GTGGCGGACGCATGCGGGCGGTGCCACAAGGCCCTTCGGAGGGGCCCTCTATGAGGCCACGAAACGGTGTACTGGGTGGGTGAAACGAGGGGAGCAATGGCTGTACTGGGTGGTGGCGGACGCATACGGGCGGTGCCACTGGGACCTTCGGTGGAGCTCCCTATGGGGCCACGAAGCGCTGTACTGTGTGGGTGAAACGCAGCAAGCGCTGGCACCTTCGGTGGAGCCCCCTATGGGGCCACGAAGCCGTGTACCGGGTGGGTGAAACGCAGGGCACAAGGTGCTGTGTACTGTGTGGGTGGAACGGGTGGCTGGGTGGTGGCGGACGCATGCGGGCGGTGCCAGGGACCTTCGGTGGAGTTCCCTATGGGGCCACGGAGCGGTGTAGTGGGTGGGTGAAACGCAGGGAGCAATGGCTGTGCTGGGTGGTGGCGGACGCATGCGGGCGGTGCCACTGGGACCTTCGGTGGGGCCCCCTATGGGGCCACCAAACGGTGTAGTGGGTGGGTGAAACGCAGGGAGCAAGGGCTGTGCTGGGTGGTGGCGTACGCATGCGGGCGGTGCCACTGGGACCTTCGGTGGAGCTCCCTATGGGGCCACGAAGCGCTGTACTGGGTGGGTGAAACGCAGGGAGCAATGGCTGTGGTGGGAGGTGGCGGACGCATGCGGGCGGTCCCACTGGGGGCTTCGGTGGAGCCCCCTACTGGGCCACGAAACGCTGTACTGAGTGGGCGAAACGCATGGAGCAAGGGCTGTGCTGGGTGGTGGCGGACGCATGCGGGCGGTGCCAGGGACCTTCGGTGGAGCTCCCTATGGGGCCACGAAGCGGTGTAGTGGGTGCGTGAAATGCAGGGAGCAATGGCTGTGCTGGGTGGTGGCGGACGCATGCGGGCGGTGCCACAAGGCCCTTCGGAGGGGCCCTCTATGAGGCCACGAAGCGGTGTAGTGGGTGGGTGAAACGAAGGGAGCAATGGCTGTACTGGGTGGTGGCGGACGCATACGGGCGGTGCCACTGGGACCTTCGGTGGAGCTCCCTATGGGGCCACGAAGCGCTGTACTGTGTGGGTGAAACGCAGGGAGCAAGGACTGTGCTGGGTGGTGGCGGACGCATGCGGGCGGTGCCGCTGGCACCTTCGGTGGAGCCCCCTATGGGGCCACGAAGCCGTGTACCGGGTGGGTGAAACGCAGGGAACAAGGGCTGTGCTGGAGGGTGGCGGGCGCATGCGGGCGGTGCCACTGGGACCTTCCGTAGTGCTCCCTATGGGCCACGGAACGGTGTACTGTGTGGGTGAAACGAACGGAGCAATGGCTGTACTGGGTGGTGGCGGACGCATGCGGGCGGTGCCAGGGACCTTCGGTGGAGTTCCCTATGGGGCCACGGAGCGGTGTAGTGGGTGGGTGAAACGCAGGGAGCAATGGCTGTGCTGGGTGGTGGCGGACGCATGCGGGCGGTGCCACTGGGACCTTCGGTGGGGCCCCCTATGGGGCCACCAAACGGTGTAGTGGGTGGGTGAAACGCAGGAAGCAAGGGCTGTGCTGGGTGGTGGCGTACGCATGCGGGCGGTGCCACTGGGACCTTCGGTGGAGCTCCCTATGGGGCCACGAAGCGCTGTACTGGGTGGGTGAAACGCAGGGAGCAATGGCTGTGGTGGGAGGTGGCGGACGCATGCGGGCGGTCCCACTGGGGGCTTCGGTGGAGCTCCCTATGGGGCCACGAAGCGTTGTGCTGGGTGGGTGACACGCATGGAAGAAGGAAGAAGGAGGGGCGGAGGGGGAGGAGGAGGAGAGGAGAAGAGGAAAGGAACGCGGGGACCGTCTCTTCAAAACGAGGACCCAACACCACAGGATGGTTGGGGAAAAAAAGGGGAACCTGGTCCTGGGGCCTCTCTCTTCTCCCACCCCTCCTCCCCTCCCCTTTTCTCTCCTTTCCCCTCCCCTCCTTGTGATATGTGCTATATGAGATATTGACCATTACAGCTTCCCGAAGTCACGAACGTGTGGCAGCGCTGCGGCGTTCTCACCATTGCAGCTTTCCGAAGTGACGAACGCGTGGCAGGATTAAGTCGTCATATACCCCACGTGCGATTTGCCGGGACACATCGTTTATTATCCCCCAAGGACCCCGAACTTTATTATCCCCCCGGGAGTGATTCTCGGGGGCACTTGGTTATACGCGCATGTGTGCCTTCAATGGCATTCGCCTGAATATGCGTGGACACCCTCATGGCGTCGTCTCTTTGGGCTTCGAAATCTTCCCCTTGACATGTTTGTTGTTTTCTCTCTCTCTCTCTCTCATTCTCCCTCCCTCCCTCCCTCTCTCTTTGTGCCTTCTCCCTTTCGTATGTCACTGTGCGAGTCGAGGTGGGCGCACAGGTAAAGGTGCGTGGTGGCGGTGTGTTCACACAACCCTTGCTTCTGTTTTCACACTGCTTGGTAATAACTGTGTCGCACCCCCAGTGTAATTATCCTGGCGAAGGGTCCAACAATATGCAGCTGCGAGTGCCGCGAGACGGGTGAGATAGAGGAAGGAACAGGCACCATATGCGGACCCTGCCGCCGGGGCCTTCGGTGGAGCTCCCTGTTGGGCCACGAAGCGTGTGAGGGATGTGTCGAAATGGGTGAAGTGGCGCCATGCAGACCATGCCGCTGGGGCCTGTGGTGTAGCTCCTATGGGCCACGAGGCGTGTGAGGTGTGTGTGTGTGTGTGCCGACATGGGTGCGGTAGCGCTATGCGGACCTTGCCGCTGGGGTCCTCGGTGGAGCTCCTTGTGAGGTCACGAAACGTGTGATCGGCGTGCCGAACTGGGTGCGTTGGCGCCATGCGGACCCTCCCCCTGGGGCCGTTGGTGGAGCGCCCAGTGGGGCCACGAAACGTGCGACGGGTGTGCTGAAATGGGCGCGGTGGCGCCATGCGAACTATTCTGCTGGGGACTTCGGTGGAGCTCGCCGGGGGCCACGAAGCGTGCGAGTGGTGTGCCGAATTGGGTTCGATGGCGCCGTGCTGGTCCTGCCGCTGAGGCTTTCGGTGGAGCTCCCTGTGGGGCCTCGAAGCGTGCGAGCGGTGTGTCTACGTTGGTGCGGTGGGGCCATGCGGACTCTGCCGCTGGGGCCTTCAGTGGATCTCCCCGTAGGGCCACGAGGCGTGTGAAGGGTGTGCCTACATGGGCGCGGTGGGGCCATGCGGACCCTGCCGCTTGGGCCTTCAGTGGAGCTCCCCGTAGGGCCACGAAGCGTGTGAGGGGTGTGCCGAAATGGGTGCGTTGGGGCCATGCGGTCCTTTCCCCTAGGAACTTATGTGGAGCCCCTTGAGGGGCCTTGAAGCGTGTGAGGGGTGTGCCGAAATGGGTGCGGTGGCGCCATGCAGTCCCTTCCACTGGGGCCTTGGGTGGAGCGCCCCGTGGAGCCTTGAAGCGTCTGAGGGGTATACCGAAGTGGGTGCGGTGGCGCCATGCGGACCCTGCCGCTGGGGCCTTCGTTCGACTTTTCTATTGGGCCACGAAGCGTGTTAGCGGTGTGTCGAAATGGGCGCGGTGGCGCCATGCGAACCCTCCCACCAGTGGAGCTCCCCAAGGGGTCACGAAACGTGTGAGTGGTGCGGTGGCTCAGTGCGGACCCCGCCGCTGGGGCTTTCGGTGGAGTTCCCTGTTGGGCCACGAGGCGTGTGAGAGTTGTGCCTAAATGGTTGTGGTGGCGCCATGCGGACCCTGCCGCTGGGGCCTTTGGTGGAGCTCCCTGTGGGTGGGTTGAGCTCCCTATGGGGCCACGAAGCATGTGAGGGGTGCGCCGACATGACGACGAGGGAGGAGGGAGGAGGGAAGAGAGGGAGGAGGAGAGGAGGAGGATGAGCGGAAACGTGGGGCCCTGTTGATTCAAAACGGGGACCCAAAAACACAGGATGGTTGGGGGAAAAACAGAGGAGCATGTTTTCTAGGTTTTGATGTTAACAACCGGTGTGGAAACAGCATGTGGCGGGGCGGGGTCACAATCACCGATAACGACCCATGATCGGTGTCGTGAGATGTTCGATTTCTGTCCCTTGCTAAGCGCAGCTGGCCATGTTGTGCGCCGGAGTCCCCCGAGACTCGCCGAAGACAGGCGGAGACCGACGCCTGGGCAGCCGAAGACCGCCGAAGGTCAGCGAGGGCCGAGGGGCAACGATGGGGCCCACGGTCGAGTACGCAGGCCCTTAGGGGGTCTCCCCAGCGGCCCCTGCGGGTCCTCGGAGCCTCCGGAGGCCTTCGGACGCCCGACGACGACGACGACGACGACGACGACGAATCCAGACATCCGACTCTGGGGAGGCCAAACGTACCCCAGAATAGACGTGCCCTGCAGGGGACCTTGAGGCCCAGCTCGGGACCCAACGGCTGCTTTTTGGTGCCCACCGTGGCTGGAAGCGTGGCCGCTGCGACAACTCACTGGGGGTCAGTCGTCCTGGGGTTTGGTCCTTTCCAACCACCCGTCTGATTTTTCCAGTGCGCGGCCCCAAGGGCGGTCCTGACTTCTCCCTCGGGGCCAGCTTTTTTCGCCCCAAAGCCATTTTGATGGTCCCGGGGCACGGCAGCGAGCCCTGGAGGCCCGCCCAGATCGAGGAGAACCTGCCGGCTGAAAACACCATACCGTTGGAGAGCATCGCACCGCCGATCGCCGATGGGCAACACGGGGCCCGTGGTTAATCACGGGCAGATTGGCCCAGGCCAGGACACCGAGGACCCCGATGCAGTGTCGCCTACGCGCAGGACTGACCCTTCGCTGGAGCGTCCTTTGGTGCGGGCCCGCTGGGGTCCCCGGATCGCCGCATGCGATGCGGTAGCAGCAGCTTGCGCGCTTGGCTTTGGCCTCCCCGAGCCCCTCCGAGCAGCCGCGCGCCAAATGTCACTCTCGCTTAGGGTCACTCTTGCGTGTGGCCGGCTCAGGCAGGGAGCCGGCGCCCTGCCGCGCCAGGTCCCGCGGCGGCCGTCGCTGCCCTTCCGGGCTTCCGCGCCACTGCGGCCCGCCAGGGCGAGCAGGCGCACAGGATCTTCCAGAACGAGTGCGAGACCACCTTCTCCAAGTTCTCGGGGGGAGGGGGTCTGTTGTCCCCCTCGTTGTCGGCGCACTTTACTTTTGAGCGGGATGCCCGCTGGGATTGGGGAGGGGGGGGCCCTTGGTCGGTCTTGGCCTCCCCCGCTTTTCCTCTTTCCTCTCCATCGTTCCAAGGATTGAGGGACGAGGATCAGCCCAGCGCAGCCTACTTGGCTCGCGAGGCAGTGGCTCAGAAGTGCTAGACCATCTTCTCCAAGTCCCCGAGGAGGGGAGGGAAGGGGAGGAGGATTAGCTAATTCACTTGAGTTAATTTCGAATTTCTGCGATTACAGCAAGTTGCATTACACTGGGAGCACGCGCACACATGTACATACATTTCTGCAAACACATAAGCACGCATACATACCAAAGCACACACACACATACGCCGCCGGCACGCAAGCACGCGTACACACGCTGATACATTCCATTCTGATTCAGTCTCTAATCCATGGGAACGTATCGGAGCGTCGCAACGAGTTTCTTTGTGGCAGCGTCAGGAATTCATTTACAAAGCGATCACACAAGGCATCCACGTGAAAAATGTGTTGAAACATAACTTGGATACCACGAGCCTGAGATAATATGATCAGCAGAGTGAGGAACAGGAGAAGTTCAGCAGAGAGTGGATGATCCCCTCACTCAAATTATATCATGCTCCTCCTGTGCCTTGCTGTCCTCGTGGCTCTTTTCCTTCCTCCTCACTCATCTTATCTAGCTCTTACTTCTCTTCCTCGTCCTCATCGTTATCAGCGTCATCATCATACTCATCCGGGTCGCGCGCATCTTATCGAGCTCACCCCTCCGCATCTTCATCAGCATCATCATCGTCGCCGTCGTCGCCGCCGCCGTCGTCGTTGTCGTCGTCGACATCATTGACATCATCATCACTCCTCCTCCTCCTCCTCCTCCTCCTCCTCCTTCTCTTAACCATTTCCTGTCCTGTGCACAATCCTCACCCTTCACTTCGTTCTCCTCCTCCTCATCATCACTCCTCCTCGTTCTCCCCCCGTCTCCTCCCTCTCCGGCTCTTCCTCATCCTCCTCCTCCACCTCCTCCCCCTCCTTTCCCTTTAAATCTTACACCTTGCGCTGCTTTCTATCGGGGCCCGGAAGCATCACAATTGACACTTGAACCGATGATCGACGAAGCTTTTCGAGTGGCTACTCGTCATCCGTCTGAATGCTGACGTGCTTTTTCGAACCTGATTCCTCTGAGGTCGCCACCCTTTCCATGTTTGTTTCATCGCGTTGTGAAGAAGGCAGAGCGCCAGCAAGTCCGCCTTCGTTGAGGAACCCTCGAAAACAACACCTCCTCTTCATTATCCTCCCATTCCTCCTCCTTCTTTTCATTGTTCATCTTCCTTATTCATCTTTCTTCTCCTCTTTCTCCTCCTCTTCCCGCCTGGAGCGGGCGAGCGGGCGATCGTAAGTGCGGGAGAGCGGGGGAGCGGGAGAGCGGGACAACGAGATGGCGGCAGAGCGGGAGAGCGGGAGAGCGGGAGGGTGCCGGAGGGGGGATTTACACATTGATTCTTTTTGTGACGGGTTTAAACGTTGAATCGTTTTGTGATTTTCGCTTTTGGATCCTCTTGTAGTCCGCCGCGCGGACCACTGGGCCTGGAGCCCCCCCCCAAGACAAGCAATGCAGAAGCTCATGAACAAATAAAACAGAAACGAAGAAACTCATGGTATTCTCAACGACTTCGAGTATATTCAGTCGTAGGCCAATTCATCTCAGTTGCATCTTCATGGTACATCTTCGGGATCGCCCAGGGTCTGAACAAAGTACATAATCATAGTTTAAGTGAACTCATTTGTCTCATGGCAAGCTTCATGATCGCAGAGAGTCTGATGTGTCTTGATTATGCCTTCTGTCTTTTGCTTCGGTTCGTTTTTGTTGGCCCCGTGTCTCCGACCTTCCCGTCTGGGCCCAGAGCCCAAGGGCCCTGGAACCCCCAAACAGCACAACATACAGAACAGACCAAACACGAAACAAGCAAAGAAAACACACCAAGCTGATATCCCCTGCTATTCCGAACACAGGCAGTCGTATTACAAGTAAGAGCAACTACATTCTTATTATCTATATGTATGTAGTCAAGACCGCTCAGAGCCCTAAACCAGGCCACCACCGTACACTTGAATATACCTGTAGTTTGATTGCGTACTTCAGAGTATCAGAGTCTTTTGTGTTTGCTGTTTTTTTTGGGGGGGGGGGGAGGGCTACAGCCCCCTGGGGCTCTTGGCTACCCTGTGGACAGGATAGTCATCATCATATATCTATGTATATATATATACATACATAGCGAGAGAGAGAGAGAGCGGAAACAATACAGAAAGAAACACACAACTCAAACCATATCAATACCTAATGTTTTATATACATCTCAATCGGTTTACACATATGTATATATATATAAACATAGAGGGATGTTGACACAATCGGGTACAATTCAGTATAATACAACACACTAGATAACGATATATATATAGAGAGAGAGAAGAGGGAGAAAGAGAGAGAAGGAGAGAGATAGAGAAAGAGAGAGAGAGAGAAAACAATATCAGAGAGAGAGAGAGAGAAAAACGATTCGAAACATCATCAGAGGGCGAGCAAGTAAGACATAGTGATTTGTCATCCTTTCGGGCGAGGGAGTCTGGGTCGATGATCCTCAGGGCACGTGTTAGCCCAATGTGCGTTTACCCCGTTCAGCTTCATTGATGAGACGTAGCGTGTGCTTGCCCTTATTACGCTGCCCGCGTCGTGTCGAAGGGCTGCGGTGGACAAGCACGCGTTGGCGGTAATACGCGTTCTGAGGATCATCGACAGGGGCAACGTCAGAGGGGGATAGGCTGAAGGGGACAAGGTTTCGAGGTTGGAGATTTATGCGCGCTCTCGTCGGCTCTCGGCGGCTTTCCAGCCTCGGGATGTCTTCAAACGGCTGAGCCTCGCCGAGAGTCGTCCCGGGGGGCCCGGATCGTCCCGAACGTGCGCCGGATACCTGGGCTATGACCCAAAAACTAATGGGCAATGTTGGGGAAGGGCTCAGGGGAGGATGCATCGACCCCCGATCGCCCATTGATCGCCGACAGGGGCCCGATAGCCCAACCCCGCTCAGGAACGCGTGGATTCGCTATCGGCGGGGGCCTATCGCCGTTCCATCGGCGATACATCGCCGATTCCAGGTCGATGTTCCCCCGCCGAGCCAGCCCCTATCGTTGCCCCCCAAGAAGGCATCTCATATTAGGTTGGGGCAGGTGGGTTCGAAGGATCGCGCCGCATCGTCGATGGCACCGTAGATTCCCAGAACAGGAAAAAACACATAAACACAAAGGGTTTTATTGGTTTTACGCCGGAAGGGGGCGTCGTTGAGAGGGTGCCTGGCACGGATGCGGGGATCGGGGTGGCGTCGGTGTTTGGAGCTGGCGGTTTGCGCGGCAAGTGCGTTTAGCTGGTCGCATGTGTTCGGAACGCGTGACGTCTGGAAAGGCCGCTCGCCAGCAACTGGCAGTCCTCTGCCCGCGGGCCGCGCTCGCAACGGGGTGTGCGAAAAGGGGTTGGGAAGAGAGCGCGAGTCTCATTCCCAAGAAGTCCCTTCGATAGGCAGCAAACACTGTTTGTTTGCTCATCTGCTGTATGGCCAACCGAAAGAACGAACAACTGTCTCGGCGCGCAGTGTTAGCTTCGCTTGCGCGCATCCTGGCTTCCTTCCGTTGCTTCCTTCGCTTCTTTCTCGCCCCCCTCTTCTTTTTCCTCTTCCTTTGCTTTGCCTTGTCCCGCCCCCCTTCTTTTCCAGCTCGGAGCTGTCACCGCGCGCGAAGAGCGCAACCCAAAGGGCGTTGCTGTAATTCCTTTGTGTGCCACGAAGTCTCGTGTAATTCCTGTGTGTGCGGTCTGGTTGCAGTGCCAACGCGGGGGGCGCACAAAGGAATTTCCTTTGTGTACGATCGTTTTCGCCGCTCCCACAAGAGCACGCGCGATTCCTTTGTGTAGAGCTTGTTTTCCTGCCTGGAGGAGCGCGCGGGGCCTGGCGCTACAATCGCAAGGCCGCGGCGCCTGGCAGTGCGACGCATCTGCGCCGGATACCACGCCCAAAGCGATCCTACGTGGACTTCGGCTCTTAAGCCGACGTCGCGTTGGCAGCTGGCCAGCCGCATCGCTGGCCCTGCATGCCCGCTCGCGCTACTGCGTTCTGCTGCCGCGACGCGTCCTGCTGCCAACGGATGAATAAACTGACGTTGCACGGTGGTTTGGCTGTGTCAAACCACCATGGAATGTTTGTTGGTAGCGGATCTTGGGATCTCGTCTCCGCAGACAGCCTTGCCACACCATACATGTCAACTGCATCCTTGAGCACAGCCGTGCATCAACCCTGGTTCGGATCGCTGGGGATCCAGTGGCATGCGTGCACATGCGTTGCACCGTTGGTGGTGCCAAAACCTTTTGTGCGAAATTCCTCTGAGTGTTTTTTTCTGGCTCGGCGCGACCGTGATCCCGAGGTTTTCAATCTCGACGTCGCAGGTGGATTGCTGATGCTGCGTTGTGGCACCATTTGCGATCGGAGCTTTTGCTCAGCGTGTCGCGCCGCCGGATCGGACCCGTCACGTCCCGCGCGACACGCTGGACGCGTCCCAGTCCCCAATCGTGAACGTTTGGAGTCATTCCCAGCCTCGCGCCCCGCGGAGCGGAGCGGCGCGCTTTCAACTCGCAGGGCGCCCTCCCCTCGCTCCCTCCCCCCTTCCCTCCTGCGCCTCGGGGGAGGGGCGATTGCTAGACTGTGTGCGAGTGCCAGACAGCTTCCGCCATTTCGTGAGCCGCGTCTTGCTGGTGAAGCCCCTGCCGTGGGAGCCGTGCGCAGGCGTCAATATCCAGCTGGTCTCGAGGCCAACGTCGGTTATCATTCGTGTTCCAGTCCCACGCGTGCCCTTCGTTGTGCCAGAGGGGGAAGTTTGCGCGCATAAGTGGATTGAGCGCTGCCGGCGAGAGGCA